ATGTACTCCTTATCAGAATTCTAACCTGTGTAGAAATTTATGGGACAGAGAATAAATCAGAAAGCTGGATAATGACTAGGGATGATAAAAGGGGAATTGATGCCTTTGAGCTGTGGTGCTGAAGAGTATTGAATATACTATGGACTGACTGCTAGGAGAACAAACAGGTTTATCCTGGAGAGGGTGAAACCAGGCTGCTCCTTGGAGACAAGGATTCTGAAGCTTCGTTTGACATACTTTAGACATGTTGCAATGTGGAATCAGTCCTTAGAGAGGGACGTCATGCTTGGGAGGGTGGAGGGACAGTGCAAGAGAGGAAGACCCTTACTGACATGAATTGACTCAGTGACTGGGGTAACGGGGGTACGTGTGTCAGAGACAATAAGACTGACACAGGATAGAGCAGGGTTTAGGGCTGTTGTACGTGGGGTCGCTATGAGTCACAGCAACGTGATAGCACATAACAGCAGAAAATGACTTCTTAGAGAAAACTCCTCTTCAGATGAAAATCCACCCACTACCATCCAGTCAATTCCAATTTGTGACAGCTCTCTGTTTTATTTTTGAGGCTGTAAATCTTTGAGGGAGAAGACTGTCCATCTTTCACCCAAGGAGCAGCTGGTGGATTTGAACTGCCAACTTGTTAAATAGCAGCTCAACACATTATACCACCAGGGTGCCTCAGTCACATTAAGATGTGCTATTATTTTTTCTACCCACAGTTAGTTGTGTGGATTAAACCGAACATGGTCTAACCTACTTAACAGATAATATATGAGGAAAATAATTAATGGAAATGTGTTTTTACTGTTGTATCCTATCCTCTTAAATAATTCTTTATTACAAAAAAAAAAAAGATCCAGAAAGATTGTTATTGTGTAACAGAGTCAGAACAGACCCATAGCTGACCTTCGGGCAGGTTTTCGCAGGAAGTTAATTGCATGGGAGGGATTGCCCATCCTTCTCCCACAGAGCAACTGGTGGTCTTGAAATGTGTACCTTTGGGATTGCAGCACAGCTTCTTGCCAGTAGGCCACCATAGCTCCCTACTGTGTCTTTAAAATAAAAAGTTACTGGGTCTCGTAGCCTGTTTGACCAGCGAGAGCCATCATTGTTTTCATCACAGAGGAGCAGATGTATAGAGACTTGATTGTTACCCCTGAAAGGAGTGGCTGCTTGTACAAAGCAGACAGCCTTGATGAGCAGCTGGTGAACTTGGAGCACACAGGAGACAATTAGAGGAAGTCTACATATAAACCTCTCCACGAGAGGAAAGGTGTTTTTTCCATTTGCCATTTTCTGAACAATTTAACTTCCTAATTATATGATCCAAATTGTTTGAGAGACTATGTAAACCATATGTTTGTTAAATGAGAGAGCCAAACACAGGGAAGTCTGATTAGCATCAGCTTCCCCCAAGAAAGTGGTTTCTTTCCCAACCCAGCGCAGCCAGCTTTGTACTTAACTGAGTGTGGGTTCACAGAGAGAGGGGAATTAGGGTTCTAAGTCATTGCATCTGTCGAGAGATCCGCCTCTAATGTGTCTTAGGTTTAGCTGTGTGTTTTATAGATTCTGTGCTGCTCTGAACACTCTCTCTAGGAAATGCCTACCTTCACTACAAATAAGCTTGATCAGAAAGGCAGTGTTTGGTTTTTATAGATGGTAATTGTGTTCGCTGTTTTTGAAGGACAAATTCATCAAACTAAGCTGGAGAGTGGTAAATTTTTTTCGAGCAAAGCAAAAAGAATGATTGACAAAAGTCAACACCAAATGAAAGAAAGTGCCAAAAATTGTGGCCGTAGGGGCTTATTCTGAAATTTCTAGCACATTTAATTGGGTCCAAGAATTTCTCATTTCTCTTGCCTCCCTTGAGTTCATACATTTGCATTTATTATTGTTAATTAGATACAGGGTGTTGCTCCTAGAATATACTTTAATTCCTAGCATATCCACCCATTTTATGCAATGTTTATTTATTGGTCTTTCCCATGTTGAGGTTACCAAACAGGTGCAGCCAAGGAGGTGAGTTGTGTATGCAAGTAGTGCTTAGAACTTATTCATTCTCATTCTCATTGCTGTCAAGTCCAGCGAGTTTTCAGAGGCTGTAACTCTCAGGAGAGGAAACTGCTTGTCTCTCTCCCATGGAAAAGCTGCTGGGTTTGCCTTTGGCAACACAACTCCCTTCCGACTCTGACTAGGCCACCAGAACATGAAAGGATGTGAGCGGCATGGAGTCAAGAGGTTGTAGGAAGTGGTGAGTTAAAAATTGTCGGAGTTGAGGACTCCATGAGTTGAGCTCAAGGGGCTTGACTTGATAGGCAGTGTGCTATGCTGGATATTGGGATAATTAGACTGTTGGAGTTGGTAGGGAAAAGGGCTGTGGTGACATAATGGGTTAAATGTTAGGCTGCCAACCAGGAGGTCAGCAGTTGGAACCCCTCAGCTGTTCTTGGAAGAAAGACGAGGCAATCTCTTCCCTTAAGATTTAGAACCTCAGTAACCACCCAGTGCGGGGTCTATGGCCTCAGTAACCCAGTGCGGGGTCACCTTGAGTCACAGTGGGTTGGGTGGGTAGATAAGGCTTGTCTAGGTTTTCACCTTGAACAAGTAGCCAAAATAAAGAAGTGAAACAGTCCAGATCTCAGACGCACAGTGATTGAGAAGACTGGCCTGCATCAGGTGCGCCTTAAGTCTTCAAACTGACAGCATTGCTCTTCAGCAGTTTGGAGAGCTCTTTTGCTGCAAGCTTTGCCAATGTAATATGTCTCTTGATCTCCTGATAACCAAGATCCAGAGTGTCCAGTCACTGCAGACGCGGAAACTAGGAGGCTGGGACCAGGCTAGTGGAAGTGTATGATACATTGAAGTTGAAGCCATCAAGGATCTGTGAATGAAGTAATACTGAAGAAAGACAGCCAGAAATGAAGTCCTTGCGGGGAGAAGGAGAGTGGTCAAGAAATCTGTGGATTGCAGTATTTATGAGATAGAAGATGATGTTTGAGCTTCAGAGCCAAGTGCTTTGCAGAGTAATCGCCTGGACTGAGCGGTGAGAATCAAGCAGGCCAGCAGCTCCCCTTCCACCGGGCAGCGCGCCTTCCACCTGGCAGCCCGCCTTCACAGAGGCACCATCCTCTGGGGAGATCCAGAAAGTACAGGGAGTGTTCAGAGTCAAGTGTGGGACTCAGAGGGATTCCCAGCATGACTGACAGGGTTCCAGCAGTAGGTTTCAGCAGAGCCATGATTGTGAGGATGGTGCATGATCGGACCTGGTTTTGTTCTGTTGTACGTAATCAGGTGGCTGTGGATTGGAGCAGACTCGTTGGCATCTCACAACAACAACAACTGCACAGTTGCATGTGTGCTCCCAGAAAACATCGTGGGGTGGACTTAGGAACTGATGGACTAGATTATACATACATATACAATGCCACTGGGGATGACAGCCTGGGAAAATGAAGGACACTCAGCCCCCTGGTTATCAGGAGATCAAGAGATGTGTTACAGTGGCAAAGCCTGCAGTAAGGGACCTCTCCAAACTGCTGAAGAGCAATGCTGTCAGTTTGAAGACTAAGGTGCACCTGATGCAGGCCAGTCTTCTCAATCACTATGTGTCTGAGAGCTGGACGATGAATAAAGAAAACAGGAGACGAATTGATGCCTTTGAGTTGTGGTGTTGGAGAAGAATACTGAACATCCCATGGATGGCCAAAAGAACAGATACGACTTGTAGAAAGTACAGCCAGAGTGCTCCCTGGAGGCAGCGATGACAAAGCTTTGTCTCACGTACTCTGGTCATGCTGCTAGGAGAGGCTGTTCTTTGGAGACAGACATCATGCTTGGAAAGGTGGAGGCTCAGAAAAAAGAGAGGAAGACGTTCATCCGGACAAATTGACCCAGTGACTGCAGCAGTGGACAAGTATGTCAGAAATTACAGAGACGGCACAGGATAGGACAGGGTTCGAACCTGGCGTTCAGAGGGTCTCTGTGAATCATACACGATACCATTGATCAAACCCAACAGCTAGACAGGACAAGCAGCTAACACACTCAGTTGCCGGTCACAAGGCTGGCAGTTCATATCCACCCGACGGACCTGAATAAAGGCCTGTTGTTCCTGAAAAGCAGCCACTGAAAACCAGATGTGCAGGTCTCTGAGGCACACAGCGTGGCCACATGTCAGAACTGGTTCAGTAGCAAGTGTTTCTGTAGGGAAGAGAGAGAGAGGGGAGGGGATGTGATGGTCCTAGGTTTTGAAGAAGGGGAAGAGGCTCTGAATATTGGAGAGAGGGACGAGTTAGGCGTCTTCCCAGAACGAAGCAGACCTCTGAGTGGCCTCTCTCCTGAGGCCGAGCCATTGCTGCAGAGAGTGTGAGGGTGTGTGTGACGCGGGGGCTTCTGCTTCGCCCTGAGCGTGGAGGTGTAGAAGGCTGTTCCAGAATTACCAAAGGCAGGCAGATGTCACCCATTATAACAGGGACTTAAAAAGAAACCTAGAGGTTTTGGTGTCTTGTTTTGTTTTTTGGAATAAAAATTCTTGCCTTTATGCCTGAGATACAAGTTAGTTTGTTATAGAAGACAGTAATGATCAAGTTTCACTTGGGAGCCTTTCTAGTGATTCAAGGAACTCCATAGTTAAGTGCTTGGCTGTTAACTAAAAGGTCGCTGGTTCAAACCCACCAGGCGCTCTCCCGGGGCAGTCGGCTTCTGTGCGGATTTACAGCCTGAGGAATGCTGAGTTCCAGCAGTTCTGCTCCGCCCTCCCAGGCCCCACTGAGCTTGAACTGACCCAACAAACAGCAGAGGGGGGGTCAGTTTCATTTTATGTTGATTCATAATCAGTAGTTAGAATTCAAAAGCCAATTTTTTTAAAAAAGACATTATCCGCCTCTGTGTACACTGTGTGCTTCTCTTCATTTCGGGTCAAAATGTGACCAGAAAAATGATCAGCCTTGCGGTGTATAATGTCATAACTGACATTCTCCCTTTGTCTTCCTTTCTAGTGAAGAGAGCTACAATGTCAACGACTACGCATTGAGGGATCAGCTGTTGGTGGAGTCTTGTGACAGTGAAGACCTTAATTTTTCTCTGGGGAAGAACAGTTCCACGATGCTGTATTCACGACAGAGCTCGGCCAGCCACCTCTTCACACTCACCGTCCTCAGTAACCACGCCAACGAGAAGGTGGGCATGCTGCTGGGGACAGAGACGCAGTAAGTACAGGACAGGAGGAGTTGAAGGCCTTCTGCTGCTGCTTTGCCCACCTAGCGGCCTTCTGTCTGCAAACTTCCTAACAACTGAACAAACAAACAAAACCCCAAGTGAACGCATTGCCTTGTGCTCTTTCCGACCTCCGGAGGCCCCTGCCCGGGCTGCTCTGCAGTCTTCACCCTGTGGAGTGACCTGAACGGCCAACCTTTCCCTTTGGTTTTCTGTTGTGAGGTGACTTCGTGTTGATTCTGTGTCGACTCTGTGAACAGCAGACCTGAAACGTGCCCTGTCTTGCTCCATCTCTGGTATACTCGAGCCCATTCCTCTCCCCCTGGGTGAACCGAAAAATCAAACACACCGGCCGTTGAGTCATTGTGACTCGTGATAACTTCCAGTGACATGGCAGATGTTAGAACAGATCTAGAGGGTTTCTTGGCTGTCGTATTTCAGGGAACAGCTCAGCAGGCCTTTCTCTGGTGCTACCGAGCAGGTTCAAACCCCCAGCCAACAGGAGAACGTCAGTTAGGACATTATACACCAGAAACAGCCAAGCACAATTGACACCTCCAGGGGCTATACTGCGTGTCTGCTGTATGCCAGACATACAGTCTCGATGCCACGTGGATATGATTTTCTCACAATTCTTTCAGTGTCTGGTGTATGTCAGACATACATCCTGTCAGTTTTTGTCCCTATAAGCCCTGCTGTGAATGTGAGGAACTGTGGTGCCACAACTGTTAAAACTAGCCATGGAAGAAAGGTTATCAGTTCAAATCCACCAGTCAGCTTCAATCTTCCTACGGGGTAGTTCGGCTCTGTTCTGTGGGGTCTCTGTGAGTTAGAATCAACTTGATGGCAGTGAATTAAGCCCTGGTGCGTACACCGGGCTTCATGTGGTGCAGGTTTTTATTTTTATAGTTGTTGTTAAGTGCTATCAGTCAGCTCTGCCTCAACAGATCTGAACCTTGTCCTATCCTGTATCATGTTCACGGTCTCTGACAGGATAGAACCCGTTGTACCGTCACACTCTGTCAGTCTGTCTTACTGGAGGGTCTTCTTCCCTTTCGCTGCCTCTCCGTCTTTGCCCCGGGGATTTCTTTCTCCCTTCTGACATGTCCCTTCTCACAGCATGCCCAAAATATGTGAAGCCACACGTCACCATTCTTGTTTCTCAGGCATACCCTGGTTGCCCTCCCTCCAAGAGGGATCTGCTTGTTCTTTGGAATTCCCTGGGCTACTCAGGACTCTTCTTCAACACCCCAGTTGGAAGCCATCAATTCTTCAATGATCCTTATATTTCAAAGTCTTTTTTTCTCTGATAATTGATCAAAATGTGACTCCTGCCCTCCAAGCCCTCAGCTCAACTGGTGGTGTAGGCCCAGGCTCTCAATTTTCTAGATCATAAAATTGAAGTCATTCTGCAGCCTTCAGTCAGATAGCAGAAAGCCAATAATTTTGTCCACAGAGATACCTAGTTTGAATACATGTACTGATCTGTCCAACAGCCAAAGTGATTTAGCAACTTAAAATATAAAGCTCTTTCTCTCATTCAGTGTGAGAAGGAACTGCAGCTCCTGTCATTTCAGCCACAGATTTCAGGATGTCTGCTTTGCTTTTGGATTGACTCAGCAACACATAACAACAACAACAAACAAACAGTAGTGATTTAGGCCATTCAGAGAGCTGTTGTTGTTGTGTACCGTCTAGTTGGCAGCTGAACTTCCAGCAGGTTTTCAGAGTCAGTTAATCACGCGGGAGGAGGCTGCCCATCCTTCTCCATGGAACATCTGGTGGATTCGAACCACATGTGTTCGGGATTGCAGCACAGCTTCTTACCACTAGAGCTCCCATTGCGTGGACCTATTTTTGTTTTATTAGAAAGTGGAAACCTTCATTTGCAACTGTAATTACCTGTCGCCCAAGTTGATTCAGACTCGATGGATCTTATAGGTCAGAATAGAACTGCCCGATAAGGTGTCTGAGTCTGTAACTCTTTTTTTTTTAAATTTTATTATTTTCTCTGTGCGTGTACCATCAAATTGGATCTGACTGGTACAGGAGGAAATGGCCTCTCCTTCTCCGGCAAAGCATCTGGTGGATTCGAACCACATATCTATGGGATTGCAGTGCAGCTTCTTGCCACTAGGCCACCAGAGCTCCCCGAGTCTGTAACTCTTTACAGACAGTGTCGCTTCTTCTCCCAAGAAGCAGCTGGTGGGCTCAAACTACTGACCTTCACCACTTTGCCAGTAGGGGTCCGTCATTAATCCTTACAAGAAGAGAACAGTGGAGAGAAGGAGTTTTCGTTGTTGTTACATACTGTCGAATCAGAACCAGTTCATAGCTGACCCTCCAGCGGGTTTTCAGAGGCTGCAAATGGCATGAAAAGAGATTGCCCATCTTTCTCCCACAGAGCAGACGGTGAACTTGAACTCCATCCTTTCAGGACATTCATCAGGGCGATTCTTCACAACTTAGCCGCTAGAGCTACCTGGGAGATGTTCTCTTAATTCTTTGACCTCTTGTGTTCCTAGTTAATTCTACCCCCAAGCTCATCAAGGTTTACACAACTTGTGATTAGAATAGATCAGCAGCTGGTAAATCACAACTCGAAGACCACAGTAAACTCTCGAACTGTTTTGTTTAGTAGAGAAGCACAAAGAATTAAATCAAGTATTGAAAAGAGTCATCTCAAGGGTGTTCTTAGATCATTATAAAGAGCCATGCGAAAAACGTGGAAATTGTAAATCGTTTACATGTTTGGGCATTTGGAAGTAGCTTCCCTCAGGCTGGAGAAGACGACGAGGGACAGCTTGATGTCCTCAGAGTCTGTGTATCACAGTCGATTGGAGGTTTGGAAATACCCAAGACAATATTACAGATGAACTTGAGAGCCAACAGAGAGGAGAAATAAGCAAAGGGGCTGCGCCATGATGTCTCTCTCTCTCTCTCTCTCTCTCTCTCTGTGTGTGTGTGTGTGTGTGTGTGTGTGTGTAATTTATTAATTTTAATGAAAGTTTACAGAGACTTAGGATTTCCAGTCATTCATTGTTGCACTTTTCTCCCTGCCCACCTCCTCCCCGCCAAATCACTCTTCTCCTTGAAAAGAAAAAGAAAAACCTCTTTCATTGTTGGGCAATCCCTCCCCCCAAGTCCACTCCACTGTGCAGCCTTCACTCTGGACTTCTGTAATGACAAAAATACCCATTCCTATGTCCCTTTTAAACAGATCTCTCCCTCATCTGTTTCAATGCAATATATATCATTCCTCTCCTCCTTTTCTGTTTTCCCTCAACCCTGATGTCAGTCTCGTTGTACAACACTGGCCCTATGCATTATTTGTCCTTTTGTGACTGAGATATTTCACTCAGCATAATGTCCTCCAGGATCACTCATTTTGAATAATATTTCATGAGTTCCTTGTTTTTCAATGCAGCGTAGTATTCCATTGTGTGAATATACCAGAACTTTTCTATCCATTCATTTGTTGATGGGCACTTGGATTGTTTCCAACTCTTTGCTATTGTGAACAAAGCCGTGATAAACATGGGTGTGCATGTATCTGCTTGGATGGCAGTTTTGGTTTCTTTAGGGATATTCCCAGGAGTAGAATTGCTGGATTAAATGGTATTTCTGTTTGCAACTTTTTGAGAAAGCGCCATACAGCCTTCCATAGTGGTTGCAGATGTCTTTGTTTAGAAAACAAGGAAATGCTTCTGTGGAAAGCTCCTGACGTCCGCAGAGACAGCATTCCCTGTGGCTGCTGCTGTGGGGAGCGTGGCTGTGGGCGACATGGGGCTGCTGTGGGGAGCGTGGCTGTGGGCGGCATGGGGCTGCTGTGGGGAGCGTGGCTGTGGGGGGCATGGGGCTGCTGTGGGGAGCGTGGCGGTGGGTGGCGTGGGGCTGCTGTGGGAAGGAAGCATGGAGGTGGGCGGTGTGGGGCTGCTACCCGGGGAACCGTGGCTGTGGGTGGTGTGGGGCCTCCTGGTGAGCAGCATGGGGCACACCCAAGGCCAGGACTGAGGACTGGGGTTTCTTCATTATCTAATCTTGCTTTGAACCCTTTGCCAATATTGAGGAGGCCTCTCTGAAAAGGAGAGTTCCATACATGCATGCTTTGAACCTGTATGATTTTTGAAGGTTGAGGGAGACACAGACACTTTGGAGATTGTGCTCGGATGTTCTAGAATGTTCTCAGAAACTTGAGATTTCCTTCCCCTCCCTTAGCAGTGGTGAAAGTGGGGTTGGTTTTGATTTTATTTTTCTGTTGTTTATGGTTATGAAGATGGTTTGTGCTTTACTCAGTCGTTGCCAGAGTATCTACAGAGCTTTTCCTGAGGGTTTCATTTGTAATCTATGTAATCGCTGCCACTTGTTTCTTTCGCTCTCCTAAGAGGACAGAGAGAGTAAAGTGACTGCTGGCTCTCGTCACACCCAGGGCGGGTGCTACCCCCCCCCCCCGGATGTCTGCAGTGTTCGTATTCTACCCCCCTTGCCTTTTGATCTTGCTGTAGACTGAGTAGATGGTCATTTCCTCAGCCAGCATGTCCTCAGAATATCGAGTTATGTCACCCCCAAGTCCACGGGCATGACTCATATTTAGTTATTTAATTAATCGCAAGAGAACATTCCAGAGGGGGCAAAGGTCTCCGCGGGCACAGAAGGAGTGATTCTCACTCCTCTTCTCTCCACAATCCCTCCGTTGCAGCTGAGAAGCAAATAAATGGACAAATACATATGAGCACATTGCGCTACCAACCTAAAGGCATGTAGTTCAAATTCACGAGCTTCCCCATGAGAGAAAGATGGGCGATCTCCTTCCTTTTGATTAACTGTCTCTCAAAACCTGTTGGAGGGTCCTCTATGGGTCAGTTCTGACTCAGTGATACACGTAACAACACCAACACAGGCTTAAGGTAGCATTGATGACTTAAGAAAATATATTACATTTGAAAAGCACGTTCCTAAAACAAAATCAAAACTCCCAGGCTGTTTAAAAGCC